GTTTTGTCCTGGAATTAACGTCATCCCATTTCCCGAAACAAATCAAAGGAGATAACCTTAGCACTGACCGATGACCCTGTAGCAGTGGAAACAACATCTTTGTCAAGAAATTATCTAACAGTGTATAACTTGTTCTGTCCTTTGTTCTCCCTTAATTAATTTCACAATGATTGTTTTAAAAACAAAAGCATTTACCATATAAAAATACAGATTTTTTTAGATTGTTTTTTAACGTTATATCTGCTGCTGTTGGTCATTTGCACTGCTGTCCATGTACATTTCATAAGCTATTATTCATCTCATCACCAACACCCCTGGTGATGCTGACCACCTGGCAATATTTGCACTACTGTCACTGTTTGCACATGGCTTTGAGTTTCATCATAGCCTATTAGATTGTACCATTTAGTTTATCCTTATTAATTTAATTCAGTTTTCATATTCTGTTTATTCTGAGTTTATTCTACTTTTATTCTATTTAGGTTCTTAAATGGTATGGACATTCAATATTAGGAGAGAGAGAAACAGTATTTCGATTTTTCTGTATGTCCTGCACATATAGTGAATTGACAATAGAAAATCTTGAATCTTAAAACTGATCTTTGGTTCTTCACCTCAACCACCTCCAATAATATGCCAAATTTTTAAGAACCCACGACAATGACTATCTCCTTCACATAATACTGTACAGGGTATTCATTAATCATTACAGTTTATCTATCTATTGCCTACTAAATTTAGAACATGCCTTATAACCCCAAATTTTGAATCATTTATATGCCTAAAGACATCTACAGTACAGATTCAACTTGTTTCTCATACTATGAAATAATTAGCTCCTGCACAGTACATGCAATGCACAACTCAATGCTCTTTAAGGATTACACAACAATGTTCTTTCATTGGTAGGCCTGCAAAGTCACTAACAAGAACATTTTATCAAATATAACATCTGATGTTGTACCTCTGATCTTCACACACCCTCAGCATTTAGCGCTTAATCATCTGCTCCGTCTATTAGTTGATTTATAATCTCTGTGTGAATTAAAATTTCTAGCCAAAGACTGAGAACCACTACATGTCAGGGAAAGACGGAGACAGATGTACAGACAGCGTGAGATATGGAGATAAAAATTGCAAGCAGAGGTCATTGAAACACTGAAGCACTGACAGTGGCATATGAGAAAAGCACGGACGGTCTTACAGGGGTAAACTGTAGAAGGATTAAGATGGACATAGAAGTAGAGGGCAGTAGGAACAGGGTGAAACATGATGGGTGAAACAAGATACAAATCACAGGAAAAAAGAGTAGGACCAGAAAAAACAGACATGAAATCAGAAGTTCCTATAGGAAGGAGACAGGTTCAAAGAGAAAACCCAAGTGTGTATGTGACCACAACAGACAATGTGACACACGCTTTAGAATTCAGAGAAAGTGCCTTTGCACCAAAGAATGAGGTTCTAAGTCAAGTAAAGTTTCTTCAGCGGTTTTATCAGAAGTCCCTTTGTGAGACTGTAACAACAACAATGTTACATACAGTAACAAAACATATAGAAGACTATCTGAAACAGTGTAAACTAATAACAGTAAACTCACAGCCATAAAACATTGTCATCTCAAATTTTACAATTATAATCAAAACATGACAATGTCATAAAATCAAAGTTAATACCACTTAAGGCTTTTGTTAAAGGAGCAACTTGGTATTTTGACTTTTATTCTGAACATTGACTTTGTAGAATGTGCTGCATGAGGCTGCAGGTGAAAGTCCTTATCAGCAAGCATCCGTCATGCTCAACTGTCATTCAGCAAAAGCCCCTGTTCTGTAGCACTGTCCTCAAACTTTTATGGTGTCAACATTAAACTCAATGGAGCATAAGCAAAAACATTAATTCCATGATAAACAGATCACTTGACTGCCTGGATAAAAGTGGCACTAAAAATGAAGTTTAGCCAACAGGTAGGATGGGATGCACAGATGTTGCTACAGGTGGTCTATTGGCACTACACCCAACACCTTTTTAATATAGAAAAAACTCAGTTGGACCTGAAAAGTGAAAGCTGGAGACATGAAAAAGCAGATTAATATTTTTTAAAGACAATATACCTGAAATAATTAAAATGTGGCTTCTCGCTAGGTCAGTTTGCATTTATGTTTATTGTGTTCCTTTATGCTTTCATGATCATGTATGCTGATCATTTAAGGATCATGTTTACAGAATATTTTTAATTACATTTTAATTGGTTTAGTTTTTGTTTTCTCTCTTTATGCACAGTTCAGCTTAATGTGACACCACAGAGTTGTAATGTTACATGTCATTTTTACTGGGCTCTTAAAGTCTTGATCTCAAACTCTTGAACTCAGTGACAATAAACTTAATTTACTGACATATGAAATAAAGAAAACCAGCAAATAGTTGAGAAGCAGAAAACAGAGAAACATTTGCTTTTAAAAACAACTGATTGATTATCAAAAAAGGTTGTAGATTAATTTTCTGTCAATTGCACAACTGATTAATTGACTGATCGTTTCAGCTCTAGTACCCTGTAATTCATCAAAGATTATGTCCTGTTCAGGCAAGGATGCAATATTTGTTATCTAGTTTTTTTATTTTAACAATGTGCTTTGTATAAAAAAAAAATATTATGACAAATAAATCAGCGTGTGTACAGGGAAAAGGGAAAGCAAGTCAAGTGAACATGCAGTACTGTACATTTGTATTCTAACGTTTAGAAATACTGAATAAAATACACATTTGATTTCAAATGTTTGAAAAAAATTTACACTGAAACTTAATGTGATATGTGGACTCTAACTGCAGTGGTTATTTCTGATCATTATATAATCTTTTGAGTAAATTTAATACAGGTGGATTCTATTCAGGAGATAACCTGAAAACAAAGCTAACTTTACTGTCCCTTGTATTTCTGTTTAGTCATCAGAAATGAAATTAAATGTTATTTTATTCAGATCTGGTAACATCTTGATGTAGATGCTGGTACATTCTTCTTCTTATTAGGCTTGTACAGCTCACTTGCAGTGGTTAAATTAGCCAGGTTATGCTAACCTAAAGGTAGACAGAGCCAGATATTTGCTAGTAGAAAACAGGCTGTAGGTTGTAGCCTTCCTCTCACTATTATGTGCTGGTTTATGATCCAGCCACCCACAACCCTAACAAAATAAGAGGTTTTGAAAATGGATGAATGGACGTTTTTCTAGCTTTTGTGTGTTCCAAGTCATTTGATTCAGCTGCTTGATGCTGCTAATGATATAAGCAGCTATTAGAATGACAAAAAAGCAGTAAAGAAGACATTTTAAATTAAGATCAACAAAATCAAATCCACCCCAGACATCCAAATATATTAAGAGCATCACTGAAAAGTAGGTTACAGTGTTAAATTGATATGGTGAGTGTTTTGCTATATCAAACTGACAGCATCACAGTCAGGCTTGTAAACTGATGCCTTATTACAAAGGCTCCATAACTCCAATACTGTGTTATGTACAACATGTTCTTCCCGTGTTGTAGCTGAGTCACTAAACCTTGAGTCCAAGTAGAGTCGAGTCCCCAGCGTTTGAGTCCAAGTCAAGTTTGACTCACCAAAAATAGTCAGTTGAGTCCCCGTTAGCTGAGTACACATCATCAAGGTTTACATTAAACACAATTGCACAGCTCTCACAATTTTAAAAGGAGCGTACTTAACTGTGTGTGACACAATAGCCAAACAAATGCACTCATAAGAGTGCGTGCAAGCACACACACACACACACACACACACTACACACTACTTAGAAGTGAACAGTGTAATTTTGTGTTTGATAGGCAGAGTGTATGCTTTGATGGATGTGTGCTGGATACAGCATGGTGCAGGCAAACACGGTTAATATCAATACCTCAAGCCAAATTATTATTGCCTGTTACAAAAAAGTCAGAGTCCCTGTCTCCAACGTCCGAATCCAAATGCAGTCAGTGCTTGAGTCCAAGTCCAATTCTGATTCATCAGCGCTCAAGTCCATGTCGAGTCACAAGTCCTGAAAATTAGGACTCCAATCGGAGGAATCCGAGTCCTAGACTTAAGTGCTAGAACAATGGTTCTTCTGCCCACAAGCCAATGAGGAACTACCTCCATGTAACACATACTGCATCTTGTTGTACAGTAGTAAATGAGTATGGCTTTCTACAATATTTCATGTAGCCTGCATCATCCATGGCTCAGATACTCCTGGACTCACTCCTTCATAGAGACAGCGAGCATAGCAGTCTACTGATACTGTGTATCCAGCGGTATAAAAACCTCCATAGTCTATACAGGAGTCACAATTTTCTCTCATCTGTCCTCTTCGAAACTGGAGGCGGTGATATTCATGTAAAGAGCGCCTCATCAAACACAGACAAACACCCTGAATAAAAAGACTGGGAGGCAGCCGATTGATGATCTAGCAGTCACATGAGGCTGAGACGAAACATCTTTGCATTTGCACACAAAAGAAAAGCTGGATAAGCAACTCCGCCACAGGGTAAACATGGTGAGGATATGTTTACAATAGGATTAGATGAGAAAAAGGAGCTTTGCCATGACTGCCCTTCTTTCTAGGAGAATGCATTTCTCCTGCATAACAGTAAGAGGATCTTACAGCCTCTAAATCAATACAGTATGTAACATGCTGCCTGACAACCTCAAAATGGTCTGTTTTAAGGAAACCTTGTGGTCAAGGTTCCCCTGTATAGGTCCTCTGAGCTGACATGGACGTTTCTGTCCCATTTTATCTGCTTTGTCTAATGTCTATTCTCATGTTTCCCATGTAGTCGTGATCTCACAGTGATTTTAAGTCAACTGTCCTACTTGTGAAGGATTGATCTAGATAGCTATCAGATACATTAAAATGCTGAGACAAAAAGAGTCTTATTGATTTTTTCAAATAGTCTCTCAAACAGAGAGTGTGGTTTATTTTACTGTATAAACCAAGATCATCTCAAGTGGTAAAATACTTAAGACCTCTACACTACTTCTGCCTGACCGGTTGATAGAGGCATCTTTTAAGGCAGTAGCAAAAGGTGTGGTAATGCTGCTTTCAGCTAGGATGAAGATTCAAATCAGTATGGATCAAACAACAAGACTAGGATTTAATAGTACCAATATGTTGCTGTTACAAATGGTTGTAGTAAACACCAAGCCAGGACTGGATTCCCAGAGTGAATCAGATCTTTATAATGTTGATGTTTGCCTCTGCACTTGGCCCACAGAAAGTAGATTTACTCAGATTGTTTCTTTGTTTGAAGAATTGAAGAATTTCTACACAAAACTGTAGTCTAAAAGGCAACATCATCTAATTTCTGAATTGTTAATAAGGGTGTCACTCCCTGATTCACTTTTCCTTCTTTTTCTTGACCACCCTCTTCATCCTCAGCAGCAAGAATATTGATGTTTCAGGACCCTACATGAGCTTCAACGCCTTCTTCCTGCCCTCCTCCATCCAGTCCTCCTCTTCCTTAAAACACATTACTCTCAGTGCCAGTCTCAACCCCCCCATTCGCCTCCTAATGCTCACAAGTTGCACTTAATTTAAATGACTTTTGTTTTAGCCTCACTCTCCCATCATTCCTCTCCTCCTCTACCTTGACATGTACGGTTACTGTTCTCTCTTCCCTTCCATTATGCCTCCCACTGCTCTTTTTGCTCAACAAGGACAATTACTCTTTGTCTCAGTCTCTTGTGTGAGTCGGACTCTCCCGTCCTCTCTCTCCACGTCTCTGTAGAGCAGGGATTTCTGGGCCTTCAGATGGCAGGCCAGAGACATGAAGATAGAGTCGACGTTCTGACTCTCCCTCGGATCCTTGGCTGATGTCTCAAAAAGCAGCATGTTGTGGGCATCAGCAAACTTCAGCGCCATGTTGGAAGGCACCTGGGAAAGCATAGGTCTGTGGTTGTTAAATTTAGGATGGTAAATAAAGTATTACATGTATATTTTCTTGCTGATCTTGCATTAAGTACACTGACCTGTATTTGGTCCACAAGGTCACACTTGTTTCCTACCAGGACTCGGGGTACTGATGCCGAGACCCGATGGCCATTACACTCCTGGAACAGAATACAGCTGGATGAACCCATGTTTTGGTGATACCTCATACAACCAGCTGAGTGGGGAAAAACACTAATGCGGTACACCTCTGCACTGCATTAGCATTAGCAGACCATACGTTGTGATGGAAACATCACTGTGTCAGCCCATGGCTAACACATAGTCTCAGGAAGAAGGAAACACTGAAAGCTGGAGAGTCTGTGATCGTGCTTATGGTGCCAAATTAGAACAGAAAATAGCATCTGTGTGAGAAAGACATGGGTTGTGCTGCCCTCAATTCACCCTTTTTATGCTGAGTATAGTATGTAGTTGTTTTACAAACCTCTATCCACGTCTGAAGATTGCGGAAGGAAGTCATCTTGGTGACGTCGTACACAAAGACCACCGCATGGACGTTACGGTAGTAGTGCTCCACCATGGATTTGCGAAAGCGCTCCTGGCCTGCTGTGTCCCATACCTGCACCTATGGAGGCAGACAAGTCACATCTATGTTTTGGTGACTTCAAGAGAAGGAACCACAACAGATCAGATGAAACACTAGTGAGAAAGACCCAAAGCTGTAGCCTTTTACTGATTAAACATACTGTCTCAAACACACTGTATCTGATTTTGCAGATCTGGATGTCAGAGAAATAACAGCATCCAGAAAGACAAAATCCAGACATCTGGGCTTCGTACGCAACTATTCACATTTTTTTATTGTTAGCAACTGTGTGAGACTAATCTCAGTAAATCAGAAACCAACTACAAATATGAATTTGGCTCCAATGAGTTGTCTAAACCTATAAGTCTTTACAAGAGCCAGTACAAAGCACAGTAAGCTACAGCTACAAGGCTACAGGGCCTCAGGAGATCACAGTTTCATAACATAATGGGCTTTTCTGCTTAATCATTAACAGAACCCTCAGTAAAATCTGCACGGTGTTGTGTACAGAATCTGGTGGGTAAGATAGTCCAAAAAAATAATTGTAGTGATTTAAACTCCAAAATAAATATTGCCAGCACATGTGCAGGGTAGCTAGTCAAGCTTATGAAATGCTTGGAGTCACATTCATCGCCTTTCATTACTAAACACTTTTAAACAACTGCATTTTTCTCTGGCCTGCTTTCAGTTTACTTCATACTTTGAGAAGCCTGTGAGTTGTATCAGGTCACAGCCCAGCTCTCAGTCTAACTGATGTTGCTAAATATTGGGGTGTTTGCTTCCAGCACTGTAAATTATTATACAGCTGCTTGACACAATCATTTAACTCTTTGGAGCAGAGTAAATATCACACCTACTGGACACTGTGCTCCTAAAATTGTCAGCTTTCTGAATGTTTTTTCAGCTGTAATCAGTTTGTATATCAGCGTGGATGTCTCCCAGCACTCACCCCAGACTGTCAGCTTAAAAGACCCATTATCTGCAATTACCATTTCCAGTCCAGCAATTTAGCATTAGAGGCTGAGCACTGCATTAATGCTTCTCATAACATCCAAGCCCAGTGTGTGTGTCAAACACACACCATATCAAGTTGACAAAACAGATAATGCACAAAACAGATATCACAGAAATGATAATAAGGCTTTCTATATCCAATCTTGTTTTACTTGCTTTTGCCATTACTTCTCATCAGTGTTAATTCCCAGTTTTATGCAGTGTTTCATCTTTGATAGAGAAGATTTAACCATTACCAGTACCTTATCTGTATATATATATTTGCTATGCTCTGCTATATAAATTCTCCTTATAGCATTTGTAACTGCCAGTCTGCGTGCTACTTTTATTCAGGTGTAGAGGATGGGAGAGGAGAGATCCATGCGCAATTCATCTGCGTTTTAAGTGAATTAAATGATACTCCTGTTATATTGTACAAAATCGCCATCTGGATGACAAGCAAATGCACAAAAGTTTAGCTTCCTATCCCAGTAATGGAAATAAATGATCCTGGAGCCTGCTGGATCTAAAGGCCCCGTCTGCATGTAAACCCTCAGTTCTCACTATACAGTCTCTGATGGTGACACTAATTTATGACAAGATAAAACAAATCTTTTACTCCAAACGTCATATCTAGTACACAGCTGTCAGTTTACTTCTCAAAAAGGCCAAAATCACACAGTGTGAGTGGACCTTGGATTGCTGTTAACAGCCCTAAAGGCTGCATCCTACAACATGAAAGCTTTGGACAGAATAAGCAATGCTCTGGAAACTTTGCTACTCTTTGGAGTCCTGCCAGTGTGAGGCTAAAAATGTGACCATTGTCCTGTATGTGTTGCTAAAGGCAAACCTGTGGGCTCACCACTATTAAAAGGCCATATTCCTGGGGGAAAAGGCCGTATGACAATTCCTGGGGACAGTCTCTGTTACAATGCTGATAATTCTTGTGGAAATTATGTCCTGATGCTTCCACAATAATAAAGGTCAAGAGGTTACTAAAAAATATTACGACTTATCCTCTGGGGACTGTAAACATTCACCACAAAAGGAATGGCTGGCTGGCCAGAGCTCATCAAGATGTTTTCCTCTGGACCACAGAGACAGGCAAACCAATCAAATATGCTAATTTCTTTGTATAGAAAAAGATGTTAAAGGAGTATTAAAGGTTACCTTCCAGAAGAAGATGACAATGGCTATACTCACAGCAGCTACAACACAAAAGCACTTGAACAGATGTAGATAACAAAATCTTGCCTCATCTCAATCTACTGATAGTGAAGCAAACAAGAGAAAGTGCAGGAAGACGTTACTTCATTTACATTCTCTCATGTTTACATAAGGTCAATTATATGTGCGTGACATACATTTTCAGGAGAACTGCACTGATTCAGAACAGCTGACCTAACAGGTGTAGAGTACCTTGTGAGTCAGCATTGGGGGGAATCTGGAGGTTGCAGACGGTTACTGTGTAATGAGTCAGAAAAGGGGGGAGGGAGCTCACACGCACGGATCCATGCACACTGACTGGCCAGCTGAGGACGGGGTTATAGCAGGTCTGCACATTACACAATGCCAAGAAAAGCATAGAATTCACTTGCAGATCATCCAAAGGAATGTATTAGTGAACAGTTCTTATTAAAATTGAGTCCATCATTACTTTTTTTTACGTTTCACAAAAATCCAAACAGAACGCTGCTTTTACGATGGGCTTTAAAGGAAAATTGTTACTGTAGCAATTATTAGACAATTGCATGTTGTTACTTTGTCACCCTCCCCTGTTGTGACAATCCAAATATGAATCACTCACAGGTGCTATAGGACAGGTGCCCTGAAATATGGCTTATTATGGACTGGCACTGTCTCAGTCAAAGTGAACTGGGTTTGTGCCGTTTCAAGCAGCACCCCTGTCACACATGTCAAAATATAGTACTATTTTCTGTTTATGTTTATAAAGGTGTTTCAAACGATGAAAACCCTGTAAAATTCCAATTAAATACCAATCACTTTATTGTTTCCCTCTTTGGGGCCGTTGCTGGCTACCAGGACAGACAAAGCCTGTGTTGCCAGAACCTGTTGTAGGCTGTTTCTCCATCATGTACCAGCAACAGCAGGCTACATTTTGAATTATGAAATGCCTGCACAGTTTTCAGAGGTTATCTGAAATGTAGGCTATGGACAAAATGACAGAACAGGCCCTGTGCGATCCACTGGCAGACTCACAGCTGCATCTAACCAACAAGAAAAGGGAAGAAGGGCAGAAGGAGGAGGGGTGGGAGCGAGGAAGCACCACTATTTAGCCACCCCCGCTGCCGTTGCTTTTACCTTGATAGTTTCCCCTTCAATCTCCACCGCCTTCTCCCTGAAGTCTACGCCGATGGTGGCCTCGGTCTGATCGGGAAAGCTCCCCCCGGTGAAACGAAAGGTGAGGCAGGTCTTCCCCACGTTGGAGTCCCCGATGACGATGATTTTAAAGATCCGCGTCTGGATGCTCAGTTCCAGGGAGGACGTGCTCAGATCCACGGAGGACGTGAGGCTCGGGGCGGCATTGTTGCTGCTGCTGGATCGGCTCCGGCTGGCTCTGTGGAAATCCATGGAGGACGTCAGGATGGTGACATTGTCGTCCGCTCGGTTTCTTCGTGCGATTCCTCTTCCACTACCTCCTCCGCCACCCGGAACTCGGGCCTCCTCCTCCGGGGAATCGTTGGTCATTATGCCGGAGGAAGCGATGCGCAAATCGGGGTTCGTGTGCGGAGAGGAGAAGGGTTGGACAGATGGATGGAGGAGTGAAGGGAGGAGAAAGGAAGAGAAAGGAAGGAGGAGACGAGAGAGGCAACAATACAACGATGCTCGCCTCAGCAGCTGGCCTTAAAGGGAAAAGCAATGACAAACAATCATATATAGACCAACTTTCATTTTTCTAGCTTTATCTGCCTATTGTGTAGTAATTATCAGCACATAATAGGCAGATAAGGCGATAGGCATAAAGTACATTCTACAGAATTATTTTATTAATATCATATTCTATTATAGACAAACAAACAAATAAATAAATGACTTAAAGTTAAAATTTTGGTGGAGAGCCAAATGTGACCTAAGACTACCACAAACTCACCACTTTCTCACACAGACACATACATGTTATTGCAATTGTATATTGCTACCAAAGAACTCATTAAGTATAACAAGGTATAAAACAGTCACTGTATCACAACACTACACACTCCTCAGTCCCACAGACACACTAGCAGTGGTCACATTTACTCAAGTACTATAGGTCACAGTGCCTATGTATAATTATGACATCCTACTTTACCTGAGTGTTTAAATTTTATGCTATTTTATACTTATACTGTATGATTTTACATTAATATTCTATATTTCACAGGGGAGTATATTTTTTAACACCACTACTTTTATTTAGTTACTAGTTACTTTTTGAGTTAACATTTTACATAAAAGATACACTACATGCAAATACAATGCATTATTAAACCAGTAGTTTCCAATCTTTCTGGCTTGTGGACCGACCAATCGACATTTCCATACCAAGAGCTGTGCTAAAAATATTTCAGCCATAGCATCAGACACCTTCCTTCCTTGCAGCTTTCTTCCCAATCCCAAGATTATTATGTATCTCCCTGTGATTAGTTTCCAGTCTAAGTGGTGCAAGTTATATAATGTTCATTTTTGATTACAGGAAATATAAAATATTTTCAAGTGGAATCAAGTGGTTTGAAAAGCTCGTGTTTAGAAATGTAATAATAAAGAAAGAAAATCAAAATCAGCTTTACCTACCGTGTGAAATGCAGATGTAATGGGTGATGCTAGGTGTTTAAGCAGCTGTGATTCCATTTTGACTAATGGCAGAAAAAACCCCAGGAAAAACAACAACAACAACAAAATACACATAAACAGAAGGCAGGTATGTGCACACTCCCTTCTCTGTAGATATCAGACTGAAATGCAGACACAAATATCAAACGCTGGTTCTGTTTTCCTTCTCTAAGTCAGTGTCTGTCTTGCGCACAAACACAAATATAGGCACGTCACTCACTGTGTTGAACAATCCTTCATACAGACACAGTCTCTTCCTCGCAGACACACACGCTCTCTTTTTCAAAGAAACACACATAATATGTTTCTTACACACACACACTGGCGCTGTGAGGAACAATCCCAGTGCTTGAGTCTGACAAAGCTCCCTTCTCCCTCAGTAAAAGGCTTGTTTGTCTGGAGGCAAGGCTCAGTGGGACATTCACATTCTGGTGAACACAAACGAACAGTGAACTATAGCATGCATTTACATAAATACACACATTTGGAAATATACATACAAACTGAAACAATAGAGACTCTGATAAGTGGTTGTGACACTACAAACCTGTGTTACATCTCTCATCTCTCATTGCCAGCACTTCGTAACAGTATTTTTTTAAATTTTTGGTTGTAGTTTGGGATCCTTTTAGTTGATCGGAGCAAGTATTTGTCATAGTGGTCTGTTGCAGTGTATATACACACACACATATGTATATATA